CAGCGCTGGCTCTCTCAGTCAGAGAGGGCTTCTGTGACCACCTTGGATGAGGTTGAAAATCATCCCACCTCTGTTTCCTCTCTCCATTTCCTCCTCTGCATTATTTTTCTCTATCTCACATAATGCCTCCATTGTGTTTATGACCACATTGTCAGCATATAGTAAGTGCACAATAAATTACGTGAGTGGATGGCTGAATGTGTGGATGGATGGATGAAATGGAATTGTAGGTAACAGATAACTTTAGCAACTCTCATTTTTCTCCTTATCAGAGTCACCTGATATGAAAAAGGAGCAAGACCACCCTGCAAAGTCCCACACCAAAAAGCATAGTAAGTTGCCTGGTTACTGATGGCTCTTGGCCCTTCCCTCCAAGTTGAAGATAAGGGGTGACCTTTATGGTTTAGACAAATTGTCACCTTATCCTCCCTGCTTGCTGCCTCCATTTCTTTCACTCAGATTAGGCAGAGTGAGAAAAGAGTTGAGGTATTAAAATACAAGTGGTTGAACGTCATTCTCCAGGGCAGTAACTAGTTGAAATAAACCCAGAGCCTTTTGTTAGCAGCCAACCCAACCCAACCCAATCCACTGCCATCCAGTGATTCCCAGTCCTAAAAGCCCGAGGACAGAGTTGAGCTGCCCCTGTGGGATTCTGAAACTGCTCTTTATGGCAGTAGAAAGTCTCATCCTTCTTCCTCAGAATGGCTGGTGGTTTTGAATTGCTGACCTGACCGGGAAGGGTTAGCAGCCCCACTTGTAACCACGACAACACCAGGGCTCTTAGTCAACCGCAGTGAGAGACAGCAGCCCCCTGTGTTTCATGAGGCCTGCCTGGCTTGCCGCTATGGCCAAGTCACTTCAATTTTCTGGGCCTCAGTTTCTTGATTTGTAAAAGAGTAAATATTGAATGAGCTCATTTTCCATCGTCTTCTTGATTTCCAGTATTTGGTGATACTGGGCCCTTGCTTCCCAGCAGAGAGCGTTCCAGAATTGAGCATCTCCTGCTGGGCGCAAGATGTTCTAACGGTGCTACCTCTGCCCAATTCTTTGCTGTGACATAGGCTGGAGAGAAAGACAGAGAGAGAGACAGAGAGAGAAGTTCTCATCAAGTCGAGTCAGCCCCATGGCAGCTGTGCTCCGTGGGGTTTTTCATAGATTTTTGGGGTGTAGGTTGCCAGGCCTTCCTTCTTAGCTGCTCCTGGGGGGACTCCAGCCTTTGGGTGGACAGTTGAGAACATTCACCGTCTGACCACCCAATGACTAGAACCCCCCCTTTCTTTTTCCTCTTCCCCAGACCCTCGAGGGACTCACTTATGGGAGTTTATCCGAGACATCCTCTTGAGCCCGGACAAGAACCCGGGATTAATCAAGTGGGAAGACCGGTCCGAGGGCATCTTCAGGTTCTTGAAGTCAGAGGCCGTGGCTCAGTTGTGGGGGAAGAAGAAGAACAACAGCAGCATGACTTATGAAAAACTCAGCCGCGCGATGAGGTGAGCAGTTTCCCGTCTCGCAAAAGCACGGGCCGCGGCGACCTTGGCTGCGCAGCGGGCTGACGCGGTGTGCTCTGTTGCAGATATTACTACAAAAGAGAGATTCTGGAGCGTGTGGACGGACGCAGACTGGTTTATAAATTTGGGAAGAACGCTCGCGGGTGGAGAGAAAACGAAAACTGAGGCTGCCGACGCTTCGAACACACACACTCGCGCACCCCAGACGATGGCAAACCAAGACCCCCTGGGCGTGATTATTTCAAAGACAGCGTTTCTCGGATATTTATATACCACAAGGGGGAAAGCAAACCCAAGCCCCCAAGGCATCTGCTTCTAACGGGAGGGAGAACACTACAGTTGATGAAATTATTTTGTTACTTTGAAGTATGTCCTATGTGGGGAGCAAACGTACACAGTTTTCTGTGAAATATGAGGCTGGAAGAGGTTGTGATTTGTTTCCTTTGTCTTTCTTTGTTTGCCTCTATTGTGAAATCCTTTTCTGTGGCAAGAATAACTGGATGAGTAGCCTTGTGCTTCTTGCTAAGAGAAAAGGGGAAGGAAAAAAATAAATAAATCAGAGGGCATTACCTGTTTTTATATGCAGAATGATTTAGAATAAGGAGATACGTCCGCGGCACCTATGCACCCTCCTGGCTTTGTCAAGAGAGGAGGGCACAGTTACTAGGGTGAGCTCCAGGGTTTCAAGGTCATGGGCATATGCTTGGAAGATGCTGGTTAGGACAACCTGCCCTCTGGAAGCCACCAAGTGGAGCATGGGAACTTGTGGCATCCAGGGGTGGGGACTGTAATCTCTGTGTAATCACATGACTTGCAATGTTTCAATCAGTGAGAAGACTAATGGTGGTGGCCGGGGTCGGCGGGGGGTGAGGGGGTGTGGGTGGGTGGGGTGTGCTTTATACTCATTCTGAAATGATTGTCCTGACGCTGACTCTCTCCACCCCCTGCCACGGATGGCTGGTAAGAAAAAAAAACAGCAACAACAAAGAAAACCCCAATTGTCACCTCTGCCCACATACCTCCTTCAGGAGCCCCGATGACACAGTGGTTCAGCACTCGGCTACTAACCAGAAGGTCAGCAGTTCAAGCCCACCTGCCGCTCCATGGGAAAATGATGTGGCAATGTGCTTCTGAAAAGATCGACAACCTGGGGGCAGTGCTGCTCTGTCCTCGGACGGTTTCTATGCGTTAAGGTCAATTTCATGGCGATGTGTTTGGATTTTCTGGTTTCACCCTTGGTTGTTTTTATGTCGGATGCTTAAAAATAAGTGGAAAAAAGGAGGTGGTGGCGTGGAAGCGACTGCTAAGTTTGCTAGCCCGTCTCATTAACCCTTTGTTCTCAATCAGCACTATTGACACTCGGGGGCTGGCTATTCTTTGTGGTAGGTCTGTCTTGTGCATGGTAGGGTGCGTCCCAATATCCCTGACCTCTACCCACTAGACCCAGTAGCCCCTGCAGCTGTGACAGCTAGCGTGGCCTCCAGAGGTGGCCACATGTCCCCTATTGAGAACCACTGAGTTAACCAGTCAAGATCAAAGATGGCGGTGTATTCTCAGAGCAAAACGATGTGCAATGTCCCGTCATCCCTAGAGCAAAGCCAAAACAAGGCTTCCGTGTCAAACCCATTTTGAATATTTAGAATGTTCGGGACCATGACTTGAATTATCTAGAGCAGTGGTTCTCAACCTTCCTAATGCCGTGACCCTTTAATACAGTTCCTCATGATGTGGTGACCCTGTATGTGGGCATACCTGCATGTGGGCGGACCCACCTGGAGATATAGGGAAGTGGTGTCTTGGTTCCTAAGACCACCGGAAATATGATCTTAGGTGACCCCTGTGAAAGGGCCGTTCGACCCTCAAAAGGATCGTGACCCACAGGTTGAGAACCACTGATGTAGAGGGTCTCCTTTTTTAACCTCAGATGAGAGCCAACGTCAGATAAGTTCAGTGCGGTCATGTCAGCTAAACTCCAGTAGAAAACACGGTCAATGGAATGACAAAGCAGAGGCAGCATCAAATCGCAGAAGGAAGAAAAGGGAACTGGCAGAGAGAATCTTTACAGGAATGTCTATGTGGGGCTGGGTGCGTCCTGAAGAACTTAATCTTCTGGGTTATAATTCTTTCCTCTTTTAGATCATCTTTCTCTTGTCTCATCTGGACTTGCCCCTGAGTGAATGGTTTCTTGACTAGGCTTGCATCCAAAGGAACGCTAAAAAGACAAAACGAATGGAAGAAAGAAGAGAAGCAAAAGAAAAGAAAGAAGGAAAATGGGAAACTCAACTCGGGAGCTGTCTTCAGTAGGGACGGGGGCCTTTTGTTCTGGGGGCTCTGGAGACTTGTCATTGCATCGATCAATTGGTAGGAAGGTAGACCGACAGATGTTTTTAAAATGGCTTTGAAATTCCAATTTTTCCCCCATTTTCTTTTCCCATTCTAGCTTCCCTTAATCTTGGCTTCTCTACCTCAATAGCGCAGGGAAGAAGACAGGTCCACGAGGAGGAAGCAGGGCCCCTGTTTCGTCCTCAGTTCACAGAGCACCTGCTTCTGTGCGGTGCAGATCACATCGGAAGCTTGCTTGCAAAGTTGTTTTCAATGTACCCAGGAGTACGAAGAACTTAAGAGCACGTCTTACTTATAAAAGGAAGGAGGGAGGCCCAAGCCTGTCCAGTTTAATTTTTCACTGCCACTCTCAAAGAAAGCAATGGTGGGAGCTGAGAAAAATAAATAGGGAACATTAACCAGTTTGACTCTGTGAATATACACTCCCAGATAGAGACACACCCTGCTTCTCAAGCAAAGATCAGGACTTGCAAGGCCTTCCCACCACTTGGCTGTGCAGAGTGTGTTAAACATCCAAATATTTCAAATTGGTATAGCAAGCCAATATGTTGTTTTGATGTGTCTGAATTGCCTGGCATTCTTGGGGAGTCTCCCAGTTCTCTCTCTGGTGTTCCTTCCCTGATTCTGCCTTTGACCATCACCTAAGGTGGCTAGATTCTTCTCGGTCTACACCCCTCCTCCAACCTGTAAGCTTCCCGCATTGCCCACAAAGTGGCCTTGATTCTTTCTGCCATCTCTCCATTCAAGAGCAATCACTGCTCTTTGTGAGTGAATCTGGGTAGTACCAACCGGGACAGTTCTGCAGATAATTAGCAGGTTGTGTTATTTGTTGGAAGTGACAGTTTCTTGGCTCCCGGAGCCTGAATAAATATGCTGGAGTATTAAGTTCTCAGCCTATCTCTCGATTGTCTCGGCTTAAGTTGGATGCATTTGCGATGTGCTGTTCGTGACTTGGAGAACTCAAGGTAATTGAGCCCTGCCAGCCCGGGGTGTGAACAAAGTGCCTTCCATCATGGTGTCGAAATGGAGAGCAAAGTCCCTGAGATAAGTTAGCATGAGTTGATGTCCTCGCCTTCTTTTGAGGACATATGCTTCTCATTTGAGAATGTACACATGGTCATAAAACATAGTCTCCTTGAACCTTATTAAACTAAAGCAGGTTTCATGGGAACTCAAAGCAGGAAACTATGTGTTGCTAAGACTTATCAGGCTGAGCTCATCTGAGGCTCCTACAGAGTTGGCTCAATGAAATGTGAGCAAGGCCCTGGCTCCCAGGGACGTAGGCCACCATTTCTTGAATGTGCACACCTTCTAAGCAGCTAAGGTCATGTGTTCTTTTGAGCATATTGGTCCTTTCTGGAAAGTTCTTGCTTCACTAGACTGTAAGCTCTTTGAGGGCAGGGACTGTGTCTTCTTCCTGCTCTTCCCACCACCAAGCTTGAGGCAGTTACTCAGTATTTGTTGGGTTAATGAATGAATGTCTTCAGGCTGTGACTCAGATTCCAAGGACCAAGCCCTCAAGCTGATGTGGTGTCTCAGACGGACATTTTACTATGAGACTCACTGCCTTGCCTTCCTACCTACGCTGCAGCGAAGCCAAAACAGGCTGCTTGGTTCTATGTTGGACGCGAACTCTGTTGCCTTCGAGGGAACTGTGAGACTTACGTGGTACAAGAAGCCAGGGATGAACCCTTTGACCTGTTTTAACCAATGAAGATGACGAATGTGTTTATATGATGTAAATTGCTATTTAAATGTCAAGCACTTCTATGTTTTGAGTATTTGTGGGTTGGTTTTTATTTCATTTTTTTTCCTTTTTGAAAAATACTGAGGATTCTTTTGATAATGTCAATAATGTATATTAGGTGTTAGTTTTCCAAGCGTGTCATTTCTCCAACGCATAAACTCTAGAAAAGGGTAAACTGGTAAGAGGGAGAGGCATTTGTATGATTCTACAGTGAAATCAAGTGTTTGTTGTGGGCCTCCTGTGCACACTCAACAAATACGGAATGATGGACATGAGGAGCTGGTGTAATTATAGAGTGCAATCAATCACTTGGTGTGTCCCTCCTGGAGGGACGTATACTGTTTGGAAAGAACAACAGTGCAGCTGAATTATCCTCGGTGTTGGCTCTCAGGACTCTGTTTCTGGAATAAGAGCGGAAGCAGTTAAAAACTTGTTGAGACTGTGTTTGAGAACCATTGAAATGGACAGGCCTTCACAAGTTGAGCCAAATTGGGATTAATCTTTCTGTAGCTGTCTGCATAATTCCTGCTTTTCTTCCCATCTGGCTTCTGGGTTGGCAATTTGTGGGAAGCAGTCCTACTGCCACTTTTTAAAAAATCAGAAATCTTGCCCTTTGGAACGATGTTAAATTCAAACTGAGCATTTCTGTTTTGTGAAAAAAGAATGTTTTTTTTCAAAATGGGGTTTCTTGTTTAATGGGTCCCAGAAAACACTAATAAAAAGAAAATTGTATAGACCAGCCTGTAAATGCGTCTTTCGTTCTTCAACCAGCTATGGAGAGCTGGGCTGAAACAGAATGCACCTAGTCGGTGGCCACACAGCGTAAGCAGATTTTGCGTTCACGTGTTCAACACGCCTCCACTGAGTGTCTACTAGGTGGCAGGTACTCTCAGGAGCTGAACCAGGGCAGCAAACACCTCCGCTGCTTTGAGGCTTGTGCTTCCCTGAATGGAAACAGATAATAAGCTAAAAAAAAACACACCCATAAATCAAAGTAGCAGATACCCAAGTAAAGAAAACGCAAAGGAGGAGGAGGTGGAGGAGGAGAGGCTGTAGATGCTGTGGAGGTATACTGCAAGCGTAGGCAGGTTTAACAAGAGAACTTTTCTGTTGAGACCTGGGGAACTTAAGGAAGGCACCATGTTGATAAAGGGGGAGAGTGTTCTGTACAGGGGGACCAGTACATGCAAAGGTCCTGAGGTGGGCATGTTCAAGGTACAGCAAGGAGGTCTGTTTGCCAAAGTAGACTAAACAATTGTAGGACATGCCGGGAAGGAGCCACCGGATGATCACATCACCTGGGTGGAAGGCACTCTGATGGGTCTAGCTTTTCCTTGGAATGAGAGTAGTGACATGCTGTGTTGAGTACGGTTTGCAGGGGAGCCTTCGGTGCTGGACGTTCATTCTTAGTAAAAGGTGAGCCAAAGGAGGTAGACGCTCACGTTCATGGCCAGATTTCCA